TGCAATAATAAGTCATGGGTCATGTAATCTAGAGGAAAGGTATTCTAAACGTCTGGTACTTTGCTTATAGTATGGGGTGACTAATAGCTATCGAACATCGAGACCCGCAACCCTAGAGTAATTCTACTAGTGTTGTTTCACATCGATTTTCTACGAGGCCATGGTATCACTTCAGTCGAGCCATCTCATTCATACCGACCAGTTGTAAACTTCTTTTACTGCTTCCCAGTTACTACTTAAGTACCTGGTGATCTAATTTGTTCGTTTTATTTCAGGAGTAGAGAAGCTTTAGCAATAACATTAGACACTACCATTGCATTCTTTGCTATGTATCTGAAATGTGTAAATTCAGCCATGCCATCCATGAGGTAAGTATGCATGTTAATTTTTTTCGTAGATAAAACCTACTTTTAAAAGTGTTGCTGCAACTGAAAAACTGGCTGTGCTCCAAAATGATGAAACAACTTTTGGTCTTACCTTTAACGTCTATGAAATGTAAACGCCTATAAAGTAAGAAGCTTCTTTCTTTGCGCTTGACCTGCAACCCTGGTTGTCATAATGTGCCGCGGACCCCGCCCAGAGCAGGAGACGGAACGCGGTGTTTTAGTCAGTTTAAGTGTCTGACACTCAATCTTGCTCTATGGTACTCTCGCGCCTCGCTCCGCTCTCGGCGAGGTGAGAGGCAGTGTCAGTCCCTTTATGATATTTTAAGATACCTACCTATTCCTTGAATTTAAAGTGTCAAATGTTAAGTAGGTATGTAACGAGTGTAACGACCAACATAAATAACCTACCTTTCAGTAGATATGGTTAATCAAGATAAAATCGCAGAACAGTTTCCTTGTTATTCAAAACTAATTTACCTATTGATTTTACTATTAGGTTTGCTGCGGACGACTTAAAAAGTTTCGTAATATATCCTTCAAAAACTACCGTGGGATTTTTACCAAAATTCACAAGCAATCGAAGGTTTTTTGCAAACATGATAAGTACGCCTGAATTCCGTAATGCGCTAGCTAAAGATGAAGAAGAACTTAGAGCGGATTTGATGAGGAAAATGAGGTATTGTGACTCTGTCGTCATGGATCAAGATCTATTGCTAGCCCTGTACGATCGAGAAGTGGACCAGTCCAAAATGTAAAAATATTTATATTTTATTCATTTATTTGTTTTATTCATCAAATTTAATTTTGATTCCTATACCTACTTGTTTCTATTGTCGACGCAATCGACGCTAGAGAGAGCGAGGTAGAGCGCGTTTTTATTTTATGTTAGCACTGTTTTCAATCACAACACCACAATAAGTGCATTATTGAATACAAGCCTGCTCTTAAAGCAATTGTTGACTTGCTAACTTTTTTTAATTGAAGCTCGTTTATCGCCGGCTTCACGCAAATGTCAACATAATGTGGGTACGGATAGTAGGTTGCTAACTAGTTACCTACTTTTTTTTGTGAGGGGAAAATCATCAAATGACTTCTCCTGCCCAGGGTCGGGCGGGAGGGAGTGTCAGACTCTTACTGTCTAAAAACCCCCCTGTTCCTTCTCCTGCTCTGGGCCTAGGTCGCGGTGCCTCATTGCGCTTACCCCGCAACCCCGGCTGAACATCAGCCCTATGGGGCCCCGTCTGTGGTGGTCTATTGGCTCTTTGAGGCGCGCGCGGAACACTACGCGCCGTACGCTCGGGTCTGGTTCTGGTCGGGCGGCGAGCTACCCTTACTCGCCGTCCGCAGACCCGCACTTAAGGTGGCCGGAGATCATTTCTCGATCCCCGACGCCCGGAATGTCGCCTTCTGCGGCGGCTGGGGCGCGAGGAGGATAGTTCCCTCGCGCGCTCCGCCTCCTCCTTTAAACTATTAGTTACATACTAAAGTTAAAACCTCTATAACCAAATGTAGTAATTAAACCTATAGATACTAATCGATGGATATGTAACGACTTTAAGTAGGTAAGTTACCAAAAAATAATTATTCTTACGATATTTTTTGCAGTTTTTAGCATGGTACCAAATAACTTAAAATATAAGTACAAAAAAGGTACTTATTAACATGTATTTATTACTGTTTACATAGTTCTACTTGTTAAAATCTTGAAGGTAGGTACTATGGAAATAGGGAAAGTGTACAACCGCTAAAACTTGGCTGGAAATGTCTTACCAGCCAAGTTTTAGCGGTTGTACACTTTCCATCTGCGTCATCTGTGACACAGATGCCTATGGGACACAGAAGCACAGCAAAGTTTCGGGCAGTATAGGTCAAAGAGTATGTAACCACTACGTTTAGTATAGGTACCCACCTATTTCGGATCCAGCGAAGGAAAAGGGAATGCCCGGATGTCAATCGAGTCGATTGACAGCTAACATGACAAATTAATGACAATATGGGTGAAAGAGTTGCCATATAAAAATTGTGATAACATTTTAGATTTTGTTGTATACTAATAAATATTTTACAAAATAGAATATATTTATTAAAGCTGTCATAGCTGTAAGGAGATTGGAAAAATTGAGCATATTTTCTCAGACACTATTAATTATTTTCTTTGAAATGATTATTATCGATAAAGGTACTAATAATATATGGGGCACTTACATTACATTTAGTAGTGATGAGTGATTTTATTCTATATGATAGAAAATAGGTACTTGTATCAGCTTGGAGTTATTATGCTCACACACATGACAGAGGATTCATCGGTGCTAGCACGGGCCCTGGCCTACATCGCTCGATTGCCTACAATATAATTGAGTTGGGCGGTGCTGGTGTACGTGTCATGTTCTGGAACGGGCGCTGTAAATTGAGACTGATCAATTTTGAGACTATCTAAATATACATATTGATGTTATTTTATTATTCGGATTTCATGGCTAAATATTATTGTTCCACCGTTCTCACATAATGGATGTAAATAACAAAGATTTGAATTGTAAAGTTGTTGTTTCTTACTCGTTCTTCTGTTGAGGACGAGGCGAGCAAGTACCTTCACTAAAGGACAGACCGACAGACAGACTCAACAACTTTAGATAATCAAGTGTATTCTTTGACTATAAGAGTGCCTGTAAAATAAATGATTAGACTTTTTCATTGAAAATGAACAAATATAATGTAACGCTGATACGTATTAATTTTATTCGTATTGCCGCTTGCGCAAACAAAATGTAATCCTCGAATTTCATTTAAAGTGGTAGCTACTACGCATCTCGATTTCAATATGGCAACATTTTGAAGAAGCGCTAACTTGATAAAGAGTATTGTACCATTCTTATCACTTATCACAATAAATGATTGTTCGAGATTTCAACTCACTTGTTAATGGGTATATTTATAGAATGGATCATTTTATCATTCGTCAGTAGAGGTTTGCCTTACTAGTGCAATTCAAGTGCCTTATTGTGAAATTGTGAAAACTTATGAGAAAATCATAAGTTTTTGATTCTTCAAAAGTTTGACTTACAAGGTGACGAAATTTCAGAACAAGTTAGGCAAGTACATCTTTTATTTGTTTTTAACGAGTTCCTCAGGTCAAATGTACATGACTGTAATCTATCTTATTATGTTCACTACAACTCTCAACTCACTTTAATTTTAATGAACACTTATACTTCTTGATTATTTGACAAGTAGGCAGTGAGTAGATTAAAAATTTATTTGTTTAAACAAACCTAGTGTAGTTAACTAACAATATTAAAATAAATTAATCATAGTTCACCATTACCAAGGCCATGTACACTATTAAAAAGTGGGACAGAGTCAGGGTCATATTTTTGTCAAATATTTAATGATTTGTTGTGTTCCTATATACACATTAGGTAGGTACCCATGGTTTAATTGTTTTTATTACAAGTGCATATAATAACCATTGCCTTTATTATTTAACAGATTTTTATTTTATTTTACAGGACATTCAAAAGACAGAAAATGTGTTCAGTACCAGAAGATTTAAAATGTATTGTTGAAACAAAAGATGGACCTATATGCGGATATATTGATAAAACTGATGAAGGAACTTACTATAAATTCAGTAGTATCCCATATGCTAAACCACCCCTTGGTTGCTTAAGATTTATGGTAAGTAGCTTTTCTATAGTTTATCAGGTTAGGTGGGTTAATAAAGGTAAAAAATCTTGGTGTGTCTTTTCATATTGAAGAGGTTGTATAAAATACATATGAAGGTTACTTAAATTTAGTTTATGAGCTAACATTGATTTAGGTAAACACCTGATTAAATAAATAAAACATACAATTTTTATACAACATTTTCAATAAAAATCATGCCAAAAGTGTTTAAATTTAGTTAATTCTATATTGTTAGACTGAAGTGTTAAATTTGATTTTACTTTTTAATAAATAAAATGGCATTAATTCTCTCATAGTAATTAAAACAATAATCTAAGTTAAAATAATGTTAGTACCAGCCAGCAGACCAATGCACATACCTGGCCACCTATTGAAAACTGAAAACATACTTTAAACACACACACACTGTAAATCCATGTTTAGTTAATTACAATAGTATAATAAAATGTTTTATTCATCAAACCCCAAGCAAATGCTGGCATTCATACTTTTATTGTGTCTCAAAATAACCATGATTGATGTAAAGACTGTGTTTCTAGAGTTGGTATTACACACAATAAGGTTTGAATACTAAGAATAATCTTATTTGGTCTTTTCAAACATAAATAGCTAATCTGAGATTATGTCACACCTAAATATGATAATAAATTAGCAATCATCATTACAGAGCCAACCAACCAAATAAATAAAAACAAACTGAATCAATTGTATGGTTTTGATTATATTGTTCAGATTTATTTTGAATAATTTTAGATTAAATATATTTTTTTGTTAATACTATATATTTCATACTTAGTACATACCTACCTATAGTGAAATTATATGTTACTAGTATAGGTACCTATATAAAGTTAATGTACTTCAATCATGTTGTTTACATATTTTACATAATTATGATATTATACATATTATATAACTATTTTACATTATTTGTAATTTCAACCCATGATTGTTTTAATTATTTTTTGCAGCCTCCATCCCCCATTGAACCGTGGGAAGAATTACGAGATTGTACTGTGAAGCAACCCCTACAGCTATGCTGTATCTTAAATAAAAACTTAGAAGGTTCTGAAGATTGCCTTTATATTGAAATCTCAACCCCTAGTATACAGCCTGACACACCTATGCCAGTTATGTTCTGGATTGGAAGTTATGGATTTGCAGGCATAATGGATCAAATATTTGATGCTTCATTGATCAATAATGAAAATGTTGTATTTGTAAGATGTGGTTTCCGGTTAGGACCATTTGGCTTCCTCTCCATCAATGATTTTACAGCACCAGGTAATTGTGGGCTGAAGGATTTAGTCATGGCTTTAAAATGGGTGCAAAGAAATATATCTGTTTTTGGAGGCGATCCAGACAATGTCACCATTTTTGGAAGTTCGTCAGGAGGAGCTATGGTCCATCTCATGATGTTATCCCCAATGGCTACAGGTCTTTTCCACAAAGCGATTATACAAAGCGCAAGTGCACTAAACAACTGGTCTTTAACCAAAAATCCCTCCCAAGCTGTTATAGAACTAGCAAATGAATTGAATATCCAGAAAACAAATAAAGTAGAAATTATTGAAGAGCTACGAACTTTACCTGCGTCAGATATAATGCAGGCGTTTTATAATATGGCGCTTAGAGCACAAAAAGCTGCAAATCATGACATCATTGACGCAATCTTCAAGCCATGTATCGAAGTTGACTTTGAAGGCCAACCTGCATTTATTACCAAAAGTCCTCTTCTTATTATGAAATCTGGAAACTTCAACAAAGTGCCTTTAATCATTGGTAGTAATAACATTGAAGCTGCGTTATTGGAATTCATTAAAAAAGACTTCTATTCTGATTATGAAAAGTTTAACGAAAATGCTAGTCTTATTGTGCCTAGCTCGATCGCAAGAGAAGACAAATTAACAAAAAGTATAGGTCAACAATTGTTAAAGTTCTATTTGGGTGGTGAAGAGCATCTAACAGCGGATACCAGAACACAATACTTACAATTCATAAGCGACTACTATTTTCTATATTACGTTAATAGAACTGTAAGACTGCATAGTCAATCGGCACCGGAATCCCCAGTGTACTATTATATCGTCAACTATGCTGGTGATTGGTCAGTACCTACAGACATAAATTTTTTGAACTCTCCTGGTCATTGTGCAGAGCTACCTTTTATATTCCGAATAAAAATGCCAGAAATTTGCAAGGGAAGTCGAGATTCGGTAATCACAAGAAGCAGAGTTATTAAATTATGGACAAATTTTGCCAAAACAAGGTATCTAGTTATTCTTATTTCAATCTTAATCCCGCCATTACTTTTGTTAAATTGTCACGTACAGTTCGCATTTGTTTAATACAACTCTCTATATACGTTTAATTCTACATAGTAATTAAACACTTGTTCAAATACTTCTCTATTACAATAATACAAACAGGAGAAGGATAGCTATGTTTTATTTGTATAAAGTTGATTCTGTAAATACAATATAAATATTGTTTAAATACTCCTTGCTGTATCTACATTGTCTATTTTCCAGCAATCCAACACCTGATGAAGATGATCCTCTCTTACAAATAACATGGGATCCCGTCGAAAATAAGGACAAGTTAAACTACCTCAGCATAGGATCAGAACTTACAAAAGGCAGAAATCCATTTTATGAGAGAATGAAATTTTGGGACTCTCTTCATCAAGAACATGCATTTCTTAGAACAATTGTTTATTTTAATGATATAGGCATTTCATGGTAAAAAACTACAACTTGTAAGTCTACTCATTCAAACCTCATAATAAAAGAATAATATGTTATGTATCCTTTGGTCTGTTTGTAGCTATAAGTTATATTTTTGTAACTTTACACTTATTAGACAATAAATATTTTAGTTGTTTTACTGTTTAAGTAAAGATGCTATGATTATTTTTATTTCAAAATAAAATATTCTCTTTTTATAGAAAAAATCAAAGTCCGAATTAGTAGGATAAGCAAATTTACGACAGTTTTCAACTCTCAACTAAAAACCGCAAAAGAAAGGAATTAAGGATAGAAAATTAAATGACATATTTTGTTGGTACCAATCTGTAATACAGCATGAAATGATACTTTCACATAACAATATACAAGTTTAATTATTTTAGTAACAAAAGCATCAAGGCCAACAAATACATACTACAAAATAAATGAACTAGATACGCCATTATCTACAGTAAAAAAATAAGAAGGCGAATTCCTTTGTTAATTATATAAATTAATAAAATAATCTATACATAATGGGTGCATAATATAATAACATACACATTGTGTAGATAGTTTGATCTGAAAACAGTTAATTCAACGAAGTTGTAGATACTACCCACTTCTGTATACACATAGATATCTGAAAAAAAAATTTCTTCAGTCACAATAAAGCAAAATATTGTAAATGAGTTTTAGTACATGGTTAAACAAAAGTAGGTCATCATTGTTAAACATAACTAATTTTATTTCCAATGTCGCTGAGTAAGCATATTGCCTATGTATTACAAAGCTGATATTGTCAGTGTTGGTCAGTACACCTGTCAGGGTTTGCTACCTACTATAATATAGTACATACATGGAACTATGATCTCACTTTTAACAAGCACTTTGATTTCAATAAGCATATTGTTTCCAAGTGAATTTCAGATTAAGCTATAATGCATTCTACCTTTATGATCTAATGATGATCTTCAAGATGTTACAAGATGCCACAAGCACTAAATTATTAATAATTATTGCATTTAAAAGTATATGTATAAATAGGAAATACATGTGGCTCTATCTACATATAATCTTAGTTTAGTCATTATAATAACTCGATTTTACCTACATCATGATGAGTGATGACGTAATTATTATTAGATATACCTAGTATTGTGTTAGTATTGTAATGTTCTTGAATTCCTCATTGAATAATTTACCAGTAGAATTGTGATACATTTTGTAAGAATCTTATTGCACAGTTGTTAAGAGCACAAAATGGCATAATGTCTTTTTCTCTTTTACACTTATTCCAAGGCATGATTGCTGTGACTACATTTAAGGACTATTTATTATCTACCAAAGTTTGGATTTAATATTTTTAACGAAAACAACTGTGTCTATCTGATTTAATTAAAAGCACTTAAATATATATCTCCCTAAGAAGATAAAAGATCTTAGAAACCAGCTGCAGTCATTATCCACAGCACTAGCAGGTATAAAAGTTTAAATAAGAGATAAAATTTGGATTTTAATAAAACCTTCAAATTCCATTCAATTTGTGACTAAAGAAACAATAAATTTACAAAACATCACAATATAATTATACTCACTGCACGGTCAGCATCATATAAAGTATAATAATAAGCCTAGGTTAGAATTGGAAGCCACCCATAGGAACCGACTGATCGGTATTAAACTGATATTGGTCCGTAGTAGACGATACCGCAGGCGCAAGTCTGCCATCTTCTTCTTCAGATCCAAAATAGTTCTCAATAATCTCGAAAGATTTTTGATATATGTCAAGGTTTTCGTGTGATTGGAGAAATTCTATCTTATCCAAACCTGCAAAAGGAAAATGATCTCATAAGACTGATAATTTCTCCAAAACTCTTGAGGTGCCACAAAAAAGTCTATTACTTTGTCATAATCCACAAAAAAGAAAAAAATTAAATGAATAGACCATAGTATACAGTGTGTAAAAAGACACTTAACGAAACCGTTAACTACGCATACTGCAGCTAAGTAGCTTTACGCTAAAATTATCACTTGGAAACGACTTGTATTTTTCATTATGTGCGTAGGTTCACATCTTAGCATTAAAACGCTGTAATAAGTACGTAGGTCGACGTTTTACTTCGCAACAACAAAACAATTCTGTAAAATAAAAATCCTCTGAGATGCATGATGTTTTTTGTGCTAGTCTGCATTTATTTATTACGTACATTACTGTTCGTAACTTCAAATGCGTAATTTATTTAGAAAAATCGAAAATTCAGGTAATGTTTGTTTGGAAAAAAGTTTTGTAATAATACTTAGAATTCGATTGCGCAAAAAAAATGCATCTTTGACCTTCAATGTCTCGAGAACCCGTGGAGTCCCAGCTATGGTCTTAAAGAAAAAAAAATCCAAATAATGGGTAGAATACGTGGCTTTCGGCTTCGTTAAGTGTCTTTTCACCCTGTATAATAAGCGTACGGCGCGTAGCGTTCCGCGCGCGCCTCAGAGAGCCATTAGACCACCACAGATGGGGCCCTAAAGGGCTGATGTTCAGCCGGGGTTGTGGGGTAAGCGCAATGAGGCACCGCGACCTCGGCACAGAGCAGGAGAAGGAACAGGGGGGGGTTTTTAGTCAGTAAGAGTCTGACACTCCCTCCTGCCCGGTTCTTGGCGGGAGAAGTCATTTGATGATTTTCCCCTCACAAAAAAAAAACCCTGTATAATAAGACTTCTTACCAAAGCACTCTTCAATGAGGCCAGCATAAGGATTGTCTCTTTGATCAGCTTGTTGTCCTGCCTTTAATATATTGTCTAATCCGTTTAATGCGACTTGGACAGTCTTGGCGTCCGTTAACGTTAATAATTCACATAAAGGTGGTATACAACCTTGCTCAACTAAATACCTGAAAATTCAACATTATGTTATAAAAAAAGTACTATTTAATGGCGTTATGAGACTTACGGTCTTAATAGTTACCTAATTTGGTCATGACTGCCTCCACTAGTGGCATTAGTAATAGCCCAAGCTGCTTCTTTCCTTGTTTTAAACTCAGCTTGTCTCAAAATTTCTATCAGTGCTGGGAAAATGTTAGCATCTATTACTTCCTGCAATAGTAGTATATTGGTTAATAATCATTTTAACAAACAGTATTAGTATTAATAAATTTATATATATTAGCAAAAATATATAGCTTATGCACCTGAATCTGTGCAGCATTGCCAGCTGTTATGTTAGAGAGTGTCCAGCAAGATTCTTTCCGTAGCGCTTCAGTGCTGGACCGTAAGAGCGCATGCAAGTTGGGTAGTGGATTGCAGTTCAACACTGCTTGCGTTTGCGCGTCATTGCCCGTCACAATATTACCGACAGCTCTCAATGCCGCCGATACAACTGTTGATTTGTTGTGCCTGCCAAAAGACACAAATAATCAATTAATATAATATTTCTATTTTATGCTATTACAAATATTATTTAGTACATCACTAATGATGGTAGAAGAGTAAGTTGTTGTTAGAGCTGATCAAGAGACTACCAAGGAAAAGGCATCAACATTCTCAGATAAAAATAATTCTCAAAGGCTGACATGATAATTTCCGAAAATTATACACAAAATGCTAAATCATGTTACAACTACACATGTTTTATACGCACATCAATAGTTCCACAAGTCGCCTACAAACTCCAGCATCTATCACTGCCTGAATCTTCTCATTTGGTCCATCTGACAAGTAAGAGAGAGCCCAGCATGCGTCGCTTAATACATCTGCGTCGGTATGATGTAACAATCGCGCCAACACCGGAATACCTGGGAGATAAAATAACAAAAGTATTTAGATTCACTTCTGATTACGTTTACATATCAAGATAAAGCCAATTTATTCGAAACCAACCTGGAGCAACAGCTTCAAAGTTGGTCGGCGGATTTTTGCCTCTACACAAATTTGATAGAGTCCAAACTGCATTCTTCGTCATGGATAACCTCGTATATTTATTTAATATTCTGAAAAACAAAGAAAATTACATTTAGAAAAATCTAAGTATCCAAAGTGTCCACAATTCTTTGTGTGATCCACAAATTGTTGTTCCGGGTCTGGGTGTCATGTGTATGTGAAATTGTGTGTTTGTAACCGCACCCACGACACAGGAGAAAATCCTAATGTGGGGCAACGTTTTTTAAAAAAAGAAAAAAAAAAAAAAGAAAAAAAAAAAAAAAGCATGGAAATGCCGGCTTCATCTAGTTTTTCACATATAAATTGACATGTAAAAGTGCCGTTTTATGGCCTATTTGCAAAAATAAATTCATTGTTTCAATGTTTCACACGAAATTTCGTCTTTACTTAAGGAACACACATAATTACTAGTTTTTGAACTACATGATTAAATTATAAAGAATTATTTTCTTTTTGGGAACTCAATCAGTAAGGCAGTATGAATCTGGCAATTGTTAAAATATTTACTAACTCTAGCAATGGTGGTAGGATTCCAGCAGCAAGCACAGTGTCTCGACAGCGTGGTGAGTCACCAGCCACATTACCGAGTGCCCACACAGCCTGTTCACGGACATCATCACTTCCACCGCCACCAACCAGGCTAACAAGCACAGGCACTGCACCACATTCCACTACCACACGGGTTTGTTCTGATGAACCAGATGCTATGTTTGTAAGAGCCCATGCTGCCTCAAACTGAAATGTGAAAAAAAAATATTAATAAATAGTTGATTAATGGTTAATTCTTTTCAGGTGAGACTATCTGTTGTAAAAAAATGATGATTGGAATTATCCTTGTTAGCAATTTCATTATTTAACTATAACATCCAGTAAATTGTTATTACCTGCAGTGCTGGATTATTAGTTGTTAGGAATTCAACAAATTTAGGAACTATGCCGGTTCGAATAACTTCATCTATTGGAGGATTTGGTTCTTGACTCAATAGTTTTCTAAACTTTTGAGTGGCCACAACTTGTTCTTGGGGATTGTCACTATATAAGGCTGCAACCATCGCTGGAGTGATGTCCTCAGATGGTGATATATTGATATCATCCTGAAAGTTTACACACCACTTTATTTAATGACGACATCTATGGGATCTATACCTAAATTAAACTGCGTCTCATTTGAACAAGAAGAATTATTTTTAAAATATATTTTATTCATACAGCTTTAACATTGATTATTTTATAACTTAACTCGCTAAACTAATCCGTTTGATGGTAAGAGGCGCTCTCTTTAATTATAATTAGACATTGTGTAGATACTTAAGTCTTCAGTATTTCACACAGTTGTGTATACTAACTTGTTACATGTAACATTATAGAATAGAAAAAAAAAAAAAACAATTCACTATAAATAATACTAAGAAACAATATAACTAAATACTAGATAAACAAAAAATCAATAGAATAAACGAAAAAAAAAATTACAAACTTCTTACTAATCAATATTATAAAACAAATTGTTTTAATTTAGAATTTAGAGATCCTTTGGATAATTTCTTGCCATCTCTCAAAATATCTATTTCATCAAAAACATTTCATTAATACCAAGTACTTCAATTTGGTATTCAATTACTGCTTTAATTTAATCATACTATAAGGAGTAACAAAGGATTACCAATAAGTTGTCAGGTGCATTTGGTGCAGGAAGATTAACATTTCTTCTCTTGAAAAGCTGCTGTTCTCTTTTCTGTTTCCGAAGCTGCACACCTTCTTCTTCGCGGCGGCGACGCAGTTCATCAGCGCTCAAGCCTGCGTTCTTATAACGGTGCTTGTGACCACCAGACATCTTAAAAATAAACTTGTAATAAATATCTGTCAGTCAGCATATTGATATTTTGAATATTATTGGCAACATATCAGACCCAAACCTTTTCCTTGTATTTTACATAGTTCACGTTTCTTGTTGTGTATGTTGATTGTTTTCCTTTTAAAAGATTCTAGCTTCTAAGGCATGTTTACAATTACCATCAAATACTACTTACTATTTACTATTTTAGACTGTAGTGTACAGATTATTTCTACCTGAATTATTTACAAGATCATAATCCTATCAACACCCAAATAGCTTATTTGACAAGCAACGGCATAAAGAAATATGTACTCGAAAACATTTCTATTTTCAGATGTCACAGTAAATAATTACATTTTGAAAATAAGCATCGTATAAAGAGAATAGACAAATAAAATTGAAGGCAAAGCAACACACACGATCGACGACATTATCGAGAAAAAACTGCAACCGAATATAACAAACAAATGCGTTATCCACACATATAATTATAAAAGCATGTACTTACATTTGTTATAAGGACCAGAAGGATGAAAAATAAAGAAAATTATTAGATTCGTAAATCAATCCACCATCGATTAATTGAAAAAAAATATTAGATGCATGAAGATTGTAGCTTTGACTGTGAAATTTCATCGAACAGATGAGACAGAAAGTACCTACATGGAATAAGCAATCACGTCACCTATGTTGCCAAATTCGTAAATGAAACTAACTTATTTATTAACAATAAGCCAATTATGACGCAGAATTTGTAAAAGTGTATCGTGAATTGTTTAAAAATTGTAAATTTTAAGTAATTTATTGATTATTTTTCAATTTAAAATTTAAAGAATCAATAGCATGAGCTCAAAAATTGTGTCTTTTTTTCAACAACCAAGGTAAACTTTAATTTACTGGTAACATCCTATCATAGATAACATAATGATGGCACAGATTGCTACAAACATTAATTAAGCCATCATCATCATAGTATTTCATTAATAATCTTTACCCGCGACTCTGACGCGGTCCAACTAGCAGGTGTGCCCAAACGTATATAAAAAAACGCCGTAGTAAAATTATACAAAGCTAGCTGACTTGGCGAACTCCGTTATTTTATTTTATTAAGTTCCTATATCCCCTAGGTGGGGCAGAGGGCTTCCACAGTATTTTTCCATTTGGACCTATCTTGGGCTATGTGCTTAATTTCGGACCAGGACAGTCCTATCCTCCTTATTTCCGCCGCCACTGTGCGCCGCCACGTTTGCTTAGGACGGCCAACTTTTCGCCTGCCTTGTGGTGTCCACTCTAGAGCTTGTCTTGGTATGTGTGTGGGACCTCTCCTGAGGGTGTGCCCTATCCATGACCACTTTCGGCGTGTAATTTGCTTATCTATTGGCATTTCCCGGCACGCCTCCCACAAGCGTTCGTTGGCGAACTCCGTACCACATCAAATATTTGTTTTGGCCTTTCAACTCGGTAACGGCATCGTTGAGTTATAACACTACAACGAAAAGTGGCATTGATTTTTATACAGATTGAAATTGAATAGATGCGACAAATTTTAACATACAATAATACGCGTTGTCAAGAAAATTTAGAACATATCAAATGTAAAATTAATAAACTTTTATTAGTGTCACGTGAGGTGAATGATCGCTATGAACGGCGACGCTTAATAACATTCTGCACTGCGTTATGTCGGACGGGATATCTTATTATATATTAAATTTTAAACGGGATATATTTAAATTTTTCTTATTTATTTTACATATTAATTATTTTTCTGGAATACTGATAATTCGTACAAATAAAGATAACAACGTGGTCCTTGATTGTAGAAAAAACAGTTCTTTTATAATTACTATGTTACTGTAACTGAAGCTCTCATTTCATTTTGTCGCATTTATTCGATTTCAGCCTGTATATACAGATTTAAGACAGCAAATTAACGATTCCTCATCTTTGGGCCAACGACTCAAATGCTTATATATACAAGTATATACAAAAGAGATTTGAGATATTTGAATTTTAAATTGACCGTCATACGTCAAACCAGAGTTTATTTATTTATTTAAAAACTTCATGCACAGCCAAAAATTGCGCATTCTCTTCCAGTCTACCTTAGGGTGATGCAGAGACAATCCAGTGGTAGATGCAAGAAGCCAGCTAGATTTATGTACTTGTTATGGCTAAACCAATCCAATTGCTTTCAATCAATCCATGCTCATCGACGTTGTTGTCGTTTCCCAACAGGTGGGTCTGAAAATGAACATGGACAAGACGAAAATCATGTCTAATGTCCATGTTGCACCTGTACCGGTCATTGTTGGGAACGACATCCTTGAAGTTGTTGACCATTACACATACCTTGGTCAAATCATGCAGCCAGGTAGGTCCAACTTCGAGAAGGAGGTCGCCCGAAGAATCCAACTCGGATAGGCGGCGTTCGGGAAGTTACGCAATGGAGCGGGCTATGCTCGGGGTTTCTTTGCGCGACAAAATCCGAAATGTGGAAATTCGCCAAAGAACCAAAGTCACCGACATAGGTCGTAAAATCTGCAGGCTAAAGTGGCAATGGGCAGGCCGCGTCGCTCGAAAGACGGACGGTCGATGGGCCCGAAAGTGGCGATCAAAGACCAGAAAACGTAGTGTGGGCAGGCCTCCCATTAGGTGTACCGATGACATCGTCAGAGTCGCGGGGAGCCAATGGATGCAAGTGGCAACTTGTCGCTCGACGTGGAGAGCTAAGGGGGAGGCCTTTGTCCAGCAGTGGACGTCTTCCGGCTGATGATGATGTAGCTAAACCGTTACTACTTATGAGAAATATAAAAACTGTATTAATAATTTTAAACTATTATTGTCACAGAACTTAGTGCATAATGGAGGGGTCTCATATAGGAAACAGAATGTCTTATAAAAATTTGCATGCTAAAATTGTCAAGTTGAACGCTAGATATAGCCTCTTCAAATATTAATATTATTCTTGTGCACACCTCTTGCACACCATATGTCAATGCACACCTCACTATATTGCTCCCTCGGGTGTTGTCAGTATTGACCTTGGTAATGACGTTTGTTGATCTAAATCGTCTTTTTTTTAGATCCAATCAAATCAAAGTAGTCACCTGTCAAATTAAAGTTGTGCTGTTAGCAGAGAGGGAAGGAGTTATTCCCCAATTATTATTTTTTGTGCATTAAATTAAAGTAATTGAAACATTCACATAAGGTTGTGTCTTAAAAAATTGTCGATATGAATAAAATAATTTCCTTACGATTTCGATCATGTCTGTGCACTGCAAAGAGGAATTTTTGCGCACCACCTCCAAATACGCCGAGCTCCGGTTCAGGACCAACTAGTATGGCTCCAAGATACAAACCTACTGACTTCCAGAAGTTCATTTTAGTCTGGACCAAAAAGTACAAATCTAAGGAAGAGATCCCAACTTATGTATCGTAAGTTCAACTTTTTGTTTTTATGTAATCATTTGGTAGGTCCAAATTAAAGGGTTAAGATATAAAATAGGAACGAAACAAAAAACTCTATTTTTTGTTTGATCGTATGTTTTGGTCATAAAAAATATTGATAAATTAAGTTGTCCTACATGACCTTATATTTAAAAAGGCGTTATATTTTGACAGCATTATCTACTGTGCATCATTTTATTGTTTTGTACTCAAAGGCGTAGTCACGTCTCACGTCTTTGTACTTACCGTAAAATGCTTTATAGTTTGCTTCTTGCTTACTTATTTACACACTCTGTTGTTTCTAGTTAACTTTGAAGGGAATGACATGTCATAACTCTAACTAGGTAGTTTAAAGTAATCTGTCTGTTACAATGTCATTAATGAAAATGAAATAATTAAGAAATAAGTGTTAGTATATCATAAAGGTAACATGAAGAGAAACTATGTTCTCTAATTAAATATTATTTTGTTTCAGTGCTGAAATCATTGATAAATCCCGCAGTCAAGCTAGAATAAAGATTGCAAATGTGCTTATGTTACTAACAGCACTTGCCAGTTTTGGAGCAATACTGGCTGGAAAATCAGCGGCCAAGAGAGGAGAATCTGTTCACCAATACAACCTTGATTGGCACAAAAAATATGAAGAAGAGTTTAAAGCTAAGGAAGCTGCTGCTGCTGCCAAAGCAAATAAATGATGTAAGCTTGTTGTGAACTCTGTTTTATGTAGTCTGTAGTATATTCTCAAACACAAATTGTTTCATAATAAAGCTTTATTATACACCTTTGATTAAAAGTTGTTATTTTTAGAGCAGGTTCTTGTTACAGAGTGATTGATGTAAAATACAAATGTATAATGTAAATAAATTATTAAAATTAATAAATGTTAATCATACTATCTTTATTTTTGTTCCTATTTGTGTTTATAAGAAAGTATAATTTTATGCTATAGCTTCTGATACTTGATGATAACAAAGTAATTTTTTACTTATCTTATCCAACAAATCATAACCAAAAATAGACAAACATTGATTAAAATAATAACCAAGTTGAACAAGCCAGAAGTTCATAAAAGACATTTAGTAAATACTGTGTAACTTAATATGGGTTTGGCCGAAATTTCCATGCTAGCCACAGGGTTTGAGAAATAAAATAAAATTAACAGTCTATATTGTTCTATTTATATAAGTATATACACTATAAATTCCAAAACAATGTTGAGTAAAATGCATATCATCAGTCTTCATAAGTTGTTGGGTTTGTAGTAACTTCTACATTTCTCTGTAAATACTTTTGTTGTCTTCTCTTTTATGACTTCTTCCACACTAAGTTCTGTTTGCAAAAGTCTCAACTGAAAAGGTACAAATTTTAAATTGTTTTATGCAATCTAAAGTAGTATTAATTTATGAAATGTTAATCAAGATTAAAATGAAATGTTTTGACACAATATGGGGTGGGTATTTTAATAATATTAGCAGAAGGTAATATACAAGAATATAACTAAACTAAAAACAAACCTTCTTTTGTTCAGCTTTTAAGTTTTTCAGTACTTCAAAGTCATTGGGCTTTTCATCCTTAGCCGCCTTTAATTGTTTTACCGTTTCTGCAGTTACTAAGATACAATTTTTAATAACGTTTTCTCTGTCCGAATGCCCTTTTTGAATTTGAGAGTACAAATCTTCACAAGCAGAGTGAGCATCAACTTTATTAGCGAATGATTCTGTCGGTATGGAAGTATTAAGAGCGTAAACTATCTTATCATCCATGACACGCATTTTTTTTAGGATATCCTGCAAGTAAAATACTTTTTAATAAATAACTGATTAGAATATATTTGTGATAGGCATCTTATGACTGATTTTAAATAGGAACTAGGGATGATTATGATGTTGTTCTCGACAAAAACTTACTTGAAATTCTAAAAAATCTGGGCAATTCATTTGACTAAACATTTTGAGTTTTAATTTAAATGGTAATCTATTGGACTTTTGGTTACTTTCGCTCAATAAGATTTATTTTGAGGTTAGGTCACAAAAATAGAGTAGAGCAACTCATAAAGTTGTCAGCTAATTAAACTGTTGTGTTATCGACTTATTTTATATTACTGAACAACAATTTTTAAAGAAATAAATATTAAAATTGCAGCTCTGTTGAGCCAAATATTATGTGTATACAATTACTAAATTACTTAATAGTCGTTAGGTACTTGATATAAAATATATCACGTCAATAAGCCAATAGCCCGGATGTTAAAATCGACATAGACAATTACAGTTTTTATCTATGGTTCATTCTTGTTTGTCTATGTGATTCTCCTTTTCATTTCGACAAGTCAAAATGAAGTACGTTTTTCATCAATTTTTATTTAATTTCTTGCTATCTAAATGATCTGTTGCAATTTTAATATAAATGTGATAATTTCTAAAAGTGCTGTGATGGCTTATTATTGTGTGTGATTGATTTTCAGGATCGGACTTTGCGCCTACAGTGGTTACAAGATCTATCCTGGCCATGGCAAAACCATGGTTAAGGTGGACGGCAAGGTACTATTTTTACTTATTTTTATGATTTTTTTCACGTATCGGTGGAATTAAACTACCTATATTTATAACCGAATAAAATGATACTTATATTTGTTAGTTATTTACCGGCTCATTAAAAATATCACATGATTATCGATGTAAACATGGTGAAATACTAGAATATCCTGATTAATTGACACAAAACTCTATGTAACATTATTTCTTATATTGTTATCGGCTTTGTTTCCAGACCTTCACATTCTTGAACTCAAAATGTGAGGCTGCACATTTGATGAGGAGGAATCCTCGTAAAGTGACATGGACTGTGCTCTACAGGTAAAATAAAGTTATTACTTATATTTTTTATTATAAATAATTAAAACGTACAGGTCGATATAAATATTTTGTTTTAATCTTCTAAAGTTAGACTTTACTTAATTCTTGTTGTTGTCTACATAACCTTAATCCAATCATGTTGAGGTTAATTTGATGTTGGTTTTGTATCAAAATAATTTGGCACATATCCTATATGCATACAGTGCTTTAAAAATAAAAGCAGTAATGCTATTTTACTAACAATCACTATTAAGTTTGTCCCTTAGTATGGTAGCCATGATTGATATCAAATTAGTTGATGTAAAGTATTGTAGTGTTTTTACTTCAATATATATCAACTACCTAAACCTATCAGGATATATAAAAATAAAAATACTATTATATATATTTTTTTATTGTTCTTATTAGACACACCATCTGTAAGACATAAATTTTTCGGCATTGTTTTCTTCAAAACTCTTACTTTTCTCAGGCGCAAGTTCAAGAAGGGTCAAGAAGAAGAACAGACCAAGAAGCGCACAAGAAGGACGCAGAAATACCAGCGTGCCATTGTTGGTGCTTCTCTCAGTGACATCATGGCTAAGCGTAACATGAAACCTGAAGTGCGCAAGGCTCAAAGAGATCAGGCCATCAAGTGAGTCTCTACTGATATTATCCTGACTGCAACAATTGATTCCAAGTAATTAAAAGATTCATGTGTTAAGAGATTCATGACAAACTTGAGTTTTTTCACACTATTTGATTGATGTAGCTTCACTCAAACAGTGTAAAATATCTCAATTAAACAAGTATCAGTCTGCTTCTGTTTATATTTAATGATAATGAAATTAAGTGGGTCACCATTTAACAGTGTCTTTTATTCTATTTGAAATAAGTGACCTGCCTTTGACTTATTACTTTACATATATAGCTTTTTGAACTACTTTAACAATATTTCTCTATTTTAGGGCTGCTAAGGAACAAAAGAAGTCCACAAAGGCCGCCAAGAAGGCCACAGCACCAGCACCTAAGGCTAAAGCAGCACCTAAAGCCAAGGCCGCTAAAGTCAGTCAAAAATCCGCCCCCAGGGTTGGAGGAAAACGATAAGACCTATAAATAAATACTGATTTTATAAGCCACAAATGTTTACTTTTATTTTAACCTTACAGAAATGACAATATTGCTTCATAAAAAATGTTGTAATTGAATGCTCAACTCAATCAATAAAACGGCTAAAATTTTTGGATAGTTTGTAGAATGTAGTAAATTATGTGAGTAAAAGCTGTTGGATGCTTGAATGAATAACCCTCTGCTGTAGCTTTTCTGCTCAGTAGGCCTACAGCGGAAGATTGACGCTTTAACACGTCATGATAAGGCCTCTGGTCCCCAGGCATTGGAACAAAAGACACCAGTTTGTAAACTAAACATATAAAATTTTAAGAAAACCTGGTGTTAGGGACCAATCCATACATTTAATTATCAACTACATATTTATATTTTGTCAGGGGTCTAATTTTTATTTTATACTTTTTATATCATTTCCTCTCAAGTCATCAACATTCCCTTTCAGTTCGCTTTCATTTGAGACCTTACTCGAGTATATTTCTTCCCCACTTACCCCCCCATAACTTCTAAACCGCTCAATCGAACATGTCTAAGAACACTCGCACGTAAGTCACCTTTAGTACAAAAAAAACTAAATTGAAATCGCTTCACCCGTTCAGGCTCCAGGATGCCACAGACAGACACGTCAAACTTATAACACCCCTCTTTTTGCGTCGGGGGTTAAAAATGACTATTGATCGTTGAGAGAACCTACAATAAATGAACTGATTTTTTCGTCGATTCAAGCCAGGCAGGGCGCGGCGAAAAGCAGGCTACAATTGGTGGAAGCTTTCGTCGTTAAGCCTCTACCTCCTCGCCCTTCTAGGTTCGGGGTTTCGGCCAGGGTTGTCGTGTTGACCATATACGTTGGGTATCGCCCTGAGGTGTTTGTGCCGCGATCTTTTGGTATGCCAGAATATTTGCGTGCACAGGCGCTGCACGAAGTCGTCGAACACGCTTTCTACACTGAGATTTCGTCTTAACGATCGCGTTTTTTGTGGGTTTTGTACCATAATACGTAAGTACATGTGTACCATGTTACGGTGGCGTGGATAAGCCGTGTCCGAATGTAGCCCTTGTATATCGATGTATGTCGATCATAGGTCGTAGGAGTTGACGCAGTGATGTGCGTTGCGCTCTTGATCGGTGACTTGCAGCACATGGGGCGCCTGTTTAGGCCGCAGGCACTCGCTGGCTGGGTGATACCGTTAGCATGCTGAGGAGTTCTGTGCTGAGGAGTGAGTAACTCCGGATATCGCAGTGCGCGCGATCTGGGTGTAATGTAGGCACCCGGTCGTCCGCTAGGGAATGACCGGGTGTCTATATTACGGTGCGCGGATAGTGCGCACGTACCCATCTTGAACCCTATCCGATCTAGTGCTTCTGGAATTACACCCGGTGGCGTCTCAGCTGGCAGTCCCCTGATGGCTACTACCTTGATGGACCGGATTCTTTAGTTGAGCATGTACCTACGTATATCTATCTACCTCTAAGCGAAATGTAATCGTTGATGGAATTATTTTACAGTGTTTCACTGATACCTGATGAGTTTTTAATGTCCAGTCAGTGGTTAACTGATACCTAGGTGTTAAAGTAGTTATGTACTGAGGAATGATAAAAAAAAGCATTTCTTATATAAAAACATATGCATATGAGCAGACGGATTACCTGATGGTAAGCAATATCTACGCCCATGGACAAGTTTCGAGTTCGTTGCTGGCCTTATGAAGATTAGGGATTGGAGAGAAATGTAGGGTGAGAGGAAGGGTTGGGCCTCCGCTCCAGTAACCTTCCTCACACGGAGAAACACAATGCTGTCATTACTTCACGCCGGTTTTCTGTGAGGCCTTGGTATCATTTCGGTCGAGCCGACCCATTCGTGCCAAAGCTTGATTCTCCCACGGGTAAACTTAATATTACTCCAAATCGAGTACGTAGGTACATCCCCACCTACTAGGTCCTAATAGACACTTTTGAACTCTATACTACTACGCGTATCGTATCGTATGATGTAGGAGGTAATCTTTGGAACCGCTGGTCGGATTGCCAAATTTTTTTCACTTATCGATAGCTACGATGTTCCCGAGTGCTATAGGCCATAAAACATCACGCTAAAATCAAATGGAGCCGAGCAGCGTGTGAAACCGCGCGAGGGTAGCGTAGTGTAATAATATCCTCATCATAAAGTTCGTTAATGTTTATTAACATAGATAGTGACTAAACATTACATTTGCACCGTTAGAGCAAGCATAAAACTTAACCAGATGTTGAATCGTTTGTATATGATTTTCATCTAGTCTATTATAAAGAGAACCGCTGGTCGGATTTTCAAAATAATTTCACAGATCTATTGACTGCACGGTTGGCGTGGTGGCTGTTTTAAAATCCCGGGATACATTAGTTTTATAGCGAAAGCTTGTTAGTGTAGAGGTTTCTTTTATAGAATTGGACGCAAACGAGCAGACGGACGGATCACGATCGGTAAGCGATCGACGCCGCCCATGGACAATTTTGAACAATGAGGTATTTAAATGATCCATACTTTATTTAAATACCTTCCATTTATTGGGCATATATTTTTGTCAAAAAATTTAAAGTATGTAAAAATCTTTACAATTAGGCATTTACCTAAATCGATGTTAGCTTATAAACCTAATTTCACGACCACTTTAATAAAAAAGACATACCTAGGTACCAGGATTGTTTAGCTTTATTTAAGCACTTTAACCGGTAGACCATTATACTTTTATTTTATCTTTACTTTTACTGAAGCGTTCATATAGGAAGAACTTACATAATATCTTCTTGCAACTACAAAATTTCAGTGACGTAATAAATTTTCAAGTTTTGGAGACAAAAACGAGCAGATTCCCAGCATTCGATCATGATCATGCGAGTGCCTAACACTTCGAAATCCTCATCAAAAAATGAGTACCTATTTGTACCTAATCATTATGTAAAAAAATATCTTCTAGTGCCATCCCATGTAAGAAATTGGCACAATCCCAACCCAGTTCAAGACATACTATGGTAACTTTTTGAAAAATAAAGAACCTCATAGGTAGATACTAATAATTGTTGTTGAAGAGTTTAATTCCTGCATGATCATAAGGATATAGGTAAATCTGATTATCAAATTGCGGAAATATTTTGATGTTGTCAAACCCTTCAGTTACAGAGCACCTAGTAATGTAAGAGTAATAATCTATTTACAGTGAAACTTGGTTAAGTGGGACCTGGATAAGTGAGAAACCTCCATAACTGGAACTCATGCTGAAGTCCCAACAATTTGGCACTGAATTACCTCTGTTAGTGGGACGAGGTAAACCTGTATATCTGGGATTTGTTCTTTCGATTTATCATCATAGTTACCTCTATAACTAAGACAGCGAGTAAATTTTATATGCATAAACCTCTGTAACTGAGATAACATTGTTTGTTTACTCATTCTTATTCCACCCACAAATTCCACACGTAATTCCAAGTACGTAAGTACAAATTTAGAGCTTCAATTACCTTCAGTTTTAGTTTCGCTTTACAGATGTTTATTTGAAAAATGCCAAAACGAAAGCTACAATCGTTATCATTACGTGAAAAACTGAAGTTAATATCCGTTTATGAAAGTGGGAAGACACGCGAAAATTTTTGTGATTATGATTACCTTTCAGCACTGTTTTTTTTTTATTAAAACTTATTTACATACATAACACGTTATTTTATTTAACTGAAATAACCTGTATTCTCACCTCTATTAATGGAACCCTCTGTAAATGAAACAGATATTGATTTATACCTGTATATCTGAGACACTGGGTAAGTGGAATACCTCTATAAGTGAAACGACATTGCAGGTCCCTTGATGTCTCACTTAACCAGGTTTCACTGTATTACAATGGGATACACTGCTATTGATATAGCTATATAACTTAGACAACAGCAGTTATGTAATACAAAATATAAAATAAAATAATACAAAGTTTAAGTTACAAATTTTGTTTATTACTGGTATAGAATGTTTATCTACAATATATCTGCTTGATGTTTACATAATTTATTGTATGCATAAGCAATCACTTATGTTATTAATGGAACACTAAAAATTAAGTTCATTTACGACTTGGCTAGGGTTTCGGCCTTAGCAATAACTTCCTCAATAGGTCCAACCATGTAGAAAGCTACTTCAGGAAGGTGATCATACTCGCCCTGCAGGATTTTAGAGAAGCCCTTGATGGTTTCCTCAAGGGGTACCAGTTTGCCAGCGTGTCCAGTGAACACCTCAGCCACCTGGAAAGGCTGGGACAAGAACCTCTGGATCTTACGGGCACGAGCAACAGTCAATTTGTCTTCTTCAGACAACTCATCCATACCCAGGATAGCGATGATGTCCTGGAGTGACTTGTAGTCCTGAAGGATCTTCTGAACACCACGAGCCACATTGTAGTGCTCAGCACCAATAATGTTGGGGTCCATGATACGGGAAGTAGAGTCGAGGGGGTCCACAGCAGGGTAGATACCCAGCTCAGCAATAGCACGGGACAGTACAGTGGTGGCGTCCAAGTGAGCAAAGGTGGTGGCAGGGGCAGGGTCAGTCAAGTCATCAGCGGGCACGTAGATAGCCTGCACGGAGGTGATGGATCCCTTCTTGGTGGTGGTAATACGCTCCTGCATGGTACCCATGTCAGTGGCCAGGGTTGGTTGGTAACCTACAGCAGAGGGGATACGACCCAGCAGGGCAGACACCTCAGAACCAGCCTGGGTGAAACGGAAAATGTTGTCAATGAACAGCAGCACATCCTGACCTTCCTGGTCACGGAAGTATTCAGCCACGGTCAGACCAGTTAGAGCGACACGGGCACGCGCGCCGGGTGGCTCGTTCATCTGACCGTACACAAGTGCTACCTTGGAGGTCTTGTCTTTTAGGGAGATAACTCCAGACTCAATCATCTCATGGTACAAGTCGTTGCCCTCACGGGTGCGCTCACCGACTCCAGCGAACACGGAGTAACCACCGTGCGCCTTGGCGACGTTGTTGATCAGCTCCATGATAAGTACGGTCTTACCGACTCCGGCACCACCAAACAGACCGATCTTACCTCCCTTGGCGTATGGGGCAAGCAAGTCGACGACCTTGATGCCAGTGACGAGAATCTCTTGCTGCACGGACATGTCCACGAACTCGGGCGCTTCAGCGTGGATAGCTGCAGTCTTGTCAGTGGGGATGGGGCCGCGCTCGTCAATGGGCTCTCCGATTACGTTGATGATGCGGCCGAGGGTCTCAGCGCCCACGGGGATACGAATGGGCGAGCCACAGTCATGGACGGGCTGGCCACGAACCAGACCCTCGGTACCGTCCATGGCGATGGTACGGACGGTGTTCTCTCCCAAGTGCTGCGCCACCTCCAGCACAAGCCGGGGTTGACGGTTTTGTACTTCAAGGGCATTTAGAATGGGTGGTAGGTTGTCTTCGAACTGAACGTCGACGACGGCACCAATAACAGCTACCACCTTACCTTGTCCCTTGCCTGCAGCAGCTTTGGCCGCATAATCACGTTTGTTCACCACGGGCGCTGCAACTAAGGGTGCCTTGTCGGAACTATTATTTACTACCGTCCTTGTGGCCAAACGGCCGGCCCTGCAGACGGTAGAGAACATTTTCGTTTAGAAGAATCGATCGAATAAATGCACAGTAGATGGTCGGAGAGGTCACGAAAGAGGTTCGGCCGGACTCTTTACGTAACAATTCGACGTTCAGAAATTATAAGATAGACGATTACGGCACTGCCGGATCCGGACATACAGATACAAAAAGGTGGCTAGAATTCTCGATACTATAACTAATCGTGTTTTGAAAAAACGCAAGTAGTTTTAAAAGTGCTGATTATTAATAGTCTAACTATTTAATGTTAATGACCTTTTTGTTGTTCGAAGTCCAACATTATATTTTAAATAAAATCAAACATTAAAATCAATAAACGTATTTCCTTTAGATAAATTCAAGTTATTTTGCCAATTGAGCAACAAATTGATGCCGAATTTTTTATATAATTGAGTTTGTAGCTGAATCCAGCAAAATACTAATTCAATATTGCATTTAATCAGCAAATAAATCATTTTTCTAAAATAATCTTCGTTTTTAACTGTGACATCTGACAGATAAAATTCATTTGACATTGACAATTTTGACAGATATTTGTAGTGACAGAAGTATATTGTGTGTACTCGTGAGTGAATTCGTGTAGAAATTAAAAATTGCGCGAGGTAGCGGCGTGTTCCCCCTGGATTAAATAAATTATTGTTAGCAATTATCTTGTTATATCATCTTAAATCAATATTTAATTCTTAGTTATCATTAAGTAGAAGAGTAGTTTCAAAATGGAATACATAACACCTGAAAATGAAATTGCTCTTAGTGGCGCACGAATGTAAGTGGTTTTTAGGTTACATTAATTAAATTAATGTTTCACTAGTATTGTGAAATTTGCTACATGGCATTAATCATTTTCCTATTATATTGTAACTAAACATTGGAACTAAAGTATAACTTAGGTTTAAAGATTATAGAGATTATACAACTCTAGTACTTACTTAATTATAAAAACATTCTTTTATTTTTGTTTCAGATTATGTTGTCAATGTGCCGTTCCTATAGAGCCCAATCCATCCAATATGTGTGTGGCTTGTTTGAGGGCCAATGTAGACATTTCAGAGGGTATACCTAAACAAGCAACCCTTTTCTTCTGCAGAGGATGTGAAAGGTATATTGTATATGTTTGTTATTGTTGTTTTTTAAATGTTTTCCTATTATTTAATGTTATGTTTAATAGCAATTAACAATATGGATAAAATTCATCAATTTAATTTAATTTTTAACATAAAACATTAAAGGTGAGCTGAAAAATAAAAATGAAAAGTAAAACCTCTGAATATTTAGCACTTCAGTCTCCTTTTATATCTTTTAATAACCAATAACATGAATATCTACTTCAGATATCTACAGCCACCAGCTGAATGGGTAGTTGCTGCACTGGAATCTCGTGAGCTTCTAGCTCTCTGCTTAAAAAAACTGAAAGGCCTAAACAGAGTCAAGCTCATAGATGCTGGATTTGCGTGGACTGAACCACATTCTAAGAGGATAAAGGTAAGGTTATTGATTTATTTATAAATTACATAATATGTATCAAAATATTGTGCAATACTAAATTACTCAAGTCTTTCATTGATTTTGCCTTTGAGCTTACCACGGTGATAATTTTTTTAGCATCCATATTTACTGTTTTATGGAAATAATGTGTAAACAAAGATGTTTTATAGGAAAAAGAATTTCTTCTTATGATGTTCAAATTTTTAAATTTATTTCATTCTGTTCACAGGTGAAACTGACAGTACAAGGAGAAGTGATGGGTGGAGCAGTACTTCAACAAACATTCATTGTTGAGTTCACAGTACAGCATCAGATGTGTGATGCCTGCCACCGTTCTGAAGCGCAGGACTACTGGCGTGCTCTAGTACAAGTGAGACAAAGAGCTAACAACAGGAAAACTTTCTACTATTTAGAACAGCTTATTTTGAAACACAAGGCACATGAAAACACTCTTGGAATTAAACCTAAACATGGTAAGAAAAAAAAGTCTCACTAATTATTTTCCTAGTATTTTTCACCAGTTCTCCTTGGGAAATATGTTTCTCAGTATAATGTTCTTTATTCTTTTCTTCTTTTAAAATGTGTAAAATAATAACTAATTTATTACCAAAAATAATTCATACAATACATGTGAACTGTTACTTGAATAAGGTTTTTTAATTCTTTTTTCAGATGGTTTAGATTTCTTCTATGCAACTGAGAGTCATGCACGCAAAATGGTAGATTTCATTCAGTCAGTTCTGCCAATAAAATGCCAACATTCCAAGAAGCTGATATCACATGATATTCACAGTAATATTTATAACTATAAGTTCACATTTAGTATTGAGATTGTCCCTTTGTCCAAGGACAGTGTTGTGTGCCTGCCCAAGAAGTTAACACAGCAACTGGGAGCCATATCTCCAATCTGTTTGGTGAATAGAGTGACAAGTACCATACATCTGATTGATGCCAGAACTGGTCAAGGTAATTTGATAAGATTAGATAACAAGATTTCAAGAGATATATTTGTAGAATGGAAATTTATTTCTTTTTAACATTTTTTCTGTTTAGTAGATAAGGTTCATAGAGAAAGAATTTTGTAAACATTTCTTTCAATGCTGTAAAAAAAAATTAAACATTTGATTGTAATAAATAAATTATAATAAAACTACCAAACTCGTTAGTTCCCAACTAGTCAAATTGAATACTTTTATTGTAATGTAAAAATGATTTTTTTCTATGAATTTTGCATGAGATACCAAAATGTGACGTCATTCATATTCCTTTTACGACAAAAAGCATACTTATTTTTAAAAAGTTAACTAGAAAACATCTGATTAAGTATATCGTCAAATCAAAGAATGATTACATTTTAATAAGTCATTGTATTAAAAAGCCAAAATAATTAATTTTTGGCCTAAGAAAGTAACCAATTGTTTTGAATTGAAAGTCTAAAATTTTTTCTCTAGTCTGAACTAGCTAAATACTAAGCATAAAACTTGTTTAACAGTAGGATCAACATTAGAATAATAAAATAATTCAATGAGTTTTCTTTCAGTTTGTGATGTGTCAGCTACAGTTTACTGGAGGAACCCATTCCAACCAATATGTAATCCGAAACAACTAGTAGAATATATTGTGATGGACATTGATATATTGAAAGAACATGTGAGTTGATATATGTACTAGCTCTTTAGCCTTCTAGATAAAAGATCTATCCAAATAAATTATCCAACTAATACTTCCAGAGATAAGTTTGTTGAAACAGACAACCTATTATATTAAACAATTAACAATTTCTGGTTTCCATAAAGGATATGAGTCTATTGCCTTATACCATATGCTGGCAATTGGGTACTTAACAACATCAAATCAACAACAACATTTTCCTATGTTTTTATATTGTATTGTGTGTGTTGTTACATCATTTTTTTACATTGTGTGTGTTGTTACATCAACATGGAGCATCTTGGGCGTAACGGGAAGTCTTAAAGCGAGTACTCAAATAATTTTTGACAAAAGCCCCCATATTACAAGTAGAAAAGCAATAAAAGTTGTTAATAAAACAATTTTATGCTCATCCATCCTATTTTTTATAACAAATTACTCACCTGAATTAAAACTTACCTGAGAAAGACATTATTTTCAATAAATCTATTCTTATTAAAATACTAGCTTTTGCCCGCGACTTCATTTGCGTGGAATAGTGACTTCCTGCAGATTTTTGCTATAAAAACTATCCTACTACCTTTCTCGAGTTCCAAACTATATCTGTACCAAATTTCACAGAAAGGGGTTCAGTAGTTTAGGCGTGAAGAAAACAGACAGACAGACCGAGTTCCTTCGCATTTATAATATTAGTAGTAGATATAGATAGTATAAATGTACTTAGAAAGCATTTTTTAATCATTTAATTTTTGATTTCAGGAAAAGAAATCCTTCCCTGGGCAAGGTATGGTGTCGAATAAACATGTGGTGGCTGATGTGTGGGTTGTTAAAGCAAGTGAACTTGGATTAGATGTCAACCCTGTCCACACCAGAACACATCTAGGACATATATTGAAGCCTGGTGATACAGTTTTAGGGTAAGACAATTACGAACTTTTTTTAACTAAGGGTATTCTTTAGGCATTTCTTTTGGTAGGTCTGTGCTGCTGGGAACTGAGCAGATATATAAGACTGCGGCGATTTCATTGTTATAATAATAATTCCGTGCGGGTTCGATTCCTGCACGAAACAACACTTTGTGTGATCCACAAATTGTTGGTGGTTTGTGTATGTGAATTTGTAAACGTACCCACGGCGTAGGAAAAAATCCTAGAGTGGGACAACGCTTTTAAAAATAAGAAACAAACAACTACATACTAAAGAAATTTACATTTTACAGCTACAACATCGGTGATTCAAACGTAAACGACGTCAACTTTGACAAATTGGACCGCAGTTTGATTCCTGACGTGTTCTTAGTGAAGAAGTTTTACGGCGAGAAGTCTGCTAGGAGGCGCGCACGCGCATGGAAACTTAAACACATGGCCGAGGAACTACATGAAGGACTTAGTTCTACTAATGAGTGAGTATATTTTAAGTATTGTAAAACTCAAAGCTGGCAATTTCTTGTTAAAAGTATTTTGTAATGGTTTACTTTCGGTTACTTAAGGTCTCCACCTCAGGATTTAATTTTCGCCTTATAGGAAAAAATTAGGCAACCTGAAAGAAAGATAAAAAAGCAGTGTAGTAGTAAATATATGTAGTGGGTGTCATCACTTTACGCCAGTATATGTAAGATAATGTAATCCCATGACCATCACATACAATTATTACTAAAGTCGCTTGTAGAGTTTCAAGTTCATATACCTATTTAAATTTCTAATCTGGTTATTTCCATTCAATACAGGCGGCCGTATCTTTATCCAATATAAAACAAATACCCTTTTTATACTATCAACGAAAAGAATTAAAACGTAAAGGTGTATCAAATTCATTTTAAACGATATGCGATATATAATCTAAAGTTAACTAATACTTAGATGTTTTGCTCACGAATTGGTATGTGGATAGAAATTCTATATTTTTCTATGCACGTAGAGCTTTCGGAATATTACAAAACTCACGTTGATTATTTAATTTATATCTGTAATAATCCGTAAAAGCATTGGTAGTATCTTATTGTAGAATACATAAATAAGGTACGCAGCGCGAAAGCACGGGCTATCCGAAAACTGGAGGAAAAGCGAAGAAAAAGATTTGAAAATGTTGCAAGATAATAATATTTCTTAGATTAATTAATTGCACTTGATATATTTCAAATTTAGAATGTCTTGCTTCTATCCTAAGCTTATCGATAATCATTATTATTATCTGTCTTTTTCTTATCACAAAGTTGCTTCCTTTGAGTAAATATTATCTTCCATGAGTGGGCCCTTGACATAGTCCTATCACAAACGTTTCGTCATGGTTACCCCATATTTTCTTTTCAAGTGGAAAGTAAAGTAATATTCTGAAGTGATAAAAAAATGTTGGTTGGTTATCTATCGCAATACTTGTTTTTATGGAATGGATTATCTAGTTACTAAATGATCCATTTAAATGTTATTTCATTAGAAATGTAAAACCTATTTTCCTGCTTACAAATCTAGTAGCTCCTGGCAACACCTTTGTCTGCATTACTGGGTTAACTAAATAGTTTTATGAACAAACTAGCCGCTCTCGCGCTGTTTCACCCGCTGTTCGACTCCTTGATCATGGCTAGGCTCATTTAATCGTAGCGTTATGTTTTATAGCCTATAGCACTCAGGAACATTGTAGCTACCTATCAGTGAAAGAATTTTGGCAATCCGACCAGCGAGCGGTACCAAAGATTACCCCCTACATACAAACTTACAAACATACAAACTTACTTTTACCTCTTTATAATATTAGTATAGATAAAAAAACATTTTGTTTGATCTTCCGACTTATTATTTATTAAGCATTGCTATTTGAAAGAATAAAAACAAATGTATTATTTCGTTTTACAGGGATTACAATGACTTCTTGGATGATTTGGAAGAGGACCCAACCTTCAGACAGAACATTAATATATTCAAGGACGAGAACAAAATACCAGTTGACACTGACGAGATTGACCCTTCCCTGCCTCGGATCACACTCGCCGAAATGTTAGACGATATGGTCATTGAAGACGTCGACATGACCGAAGTTTAATACTAAATATTTAAGTTATATATTCGTAACATTTTGTTTTTCATATAATAAAATATGTTTTTTTATAAACTGTTTAATTTCTTTCAGACTTTAACATTTTTCTGAAAATATTAATCTTGTTAAGCTAACCCTAGCGAATCAACCGCCAGGAACGCCAATAGATATAGCGACAGGTCATGTCGAATAAACTATGTGGAGTCAGTGAACATAATATTTTTGATAGTTGCAGTGGTTAAGCAAACATGGCCTCATTCCACTCGCTTCGCTTCGACCCAGAGCAGGAGAACGAAAGGAGTGTTAATCAGTGTCTGTCGGGCACTTCTTCAGCCAGGGAGGAAGAAGTTATTATATGAATCAGTCCCTGAAAAAATCCATTTTGTTAATATCTGTTAACCAGAGTTAAAACTGTTGGATGAAATGTTATCGTAGGGAATTTGTATTTCGAAAATACAAAGGCGATAATCCTTTGTAAGCGATATGTACCGATAGTAGTAATCAAGATAATATTGTTATTAACACATCATTATAATTAGGTAGTGAATGTCTGGCACATGTGTCGTGCTTTGGAAGTTGACGTGATGTGCTGATGTCCTGCCTTCTAATTAATCCTTCCTAATGTCATGTTCATAGATAAACAATACCTAGGTATACAGGATGTATCAGGTATTTTTAGGAAATTCGATAAAGCCTACTTATTAAAGGATTTCAAAACTGCAGCAAGCAATAATAATAATGTCAAATAGGTCTTGGCGACATTCCTGGTATTTTTTCTATTTCGCACATAGGTACCATAACTATTGAGAAAACATAGGTACCTACTTTAGAAACGTGAATTTAAGATAATAATGATTGATATCGGATTTTGTATAGCTGCTTACGTATTTGCGTTTCGTGTGCGTAAAAATCACGCTCGAGTTTGTATAAGAACTCATGCAGTGAGGCTGATTATGCGCAGCGTTTCAGAACTTATTTGACATGCATGGACACGCTAAAACGAGATCAAGTCCACGGATACCGATAAACAAACAAATAGTTGCGTTATCTATTGAAAAACACGCCTATAGCCCGTATTAATGTAATAAGCTTTGATGTTCTAAAAATGACAACAATTTCGATTGCTGGTCGCACGCGCTTGGTATCTCGTTTATCTATAGGTATAAAGGTAGAATATTCGTTTATCATTCATTGTTGTACAATCAAGCTTGCAAGATGAGGGTTCTAGTATTTGTAGTAACGTTATTAACGTCGTCCTTAGCAACACAGTTGTCAATAGGTATGGTGCCAAATAATATTTGTATCTACATACATAATATAAATAAAAAATAAGTGAAATATTTAGTGAGTGTATAAATATTCATGTTTTAGATGAAATAGAAGAATTGTTTAGAAAGAAAGTAAGAAATGAATTGTCCGAATCAGAATCTCAAAAAGTGGAAGATTTGATGGAGTTGTTTCGTCGTCAAGATTATTTATCCAAACAGACTGAAAATGAAAGGAGCAGTAGAATGGTGAGCAATACTTATCCTAGATATTTTATGGCTTATATGCACGGCTGCATTATATCCCTAAACGTACCTTCGTACATTTCGGCCTTTGTTAAATTTGTATGGGGACTGCTCGGCTACTCAATGCAACCCAAAAAAAAGCAATTGGGAGAAGGCTAGCAGAAAGAAACTACAATTCAGTATAAAGACGTACCTATCTGCTATAATATTTTTGCATCTATGTCAGTGCATTTGTTAGAATGCACCTACCTACCTTACATAGGTATTTTCATCAAGAGTCCACCACAAATCCCTTTTATACCTGCCTGCATGCCATAAAAATATTATTCAGATATTTAATATCTACACACCAGTTTCTACATATTATTCTGTACTTATCCATTTTTCAGTAACTTTATCTTAATTAATTAGTAGGTATTAAAAACTCCGTATCCTCTTCACATATCTAATCTACGTAAACTTAATACTTATTGGTATTTTAAACAATAAAAAACATGAGTTAATGAAGAGGCGGATACAGAAGTACCTATCTAATTTAATTAATCTACAAAAGTCTCGTAGGTACTTACATACCTACCTATATCGTGATGCCCAACTACTACCTAATTATAGCTCTCTTCAATCTTCAATGACAGATTTTCCTTATGAGGAATTTATAGGTAGGTACTGTGTTTGTGTTTTTAATAATATAAATTCACATAATAACACTGCACACAGTTCTTACACCGTGCCCTTTACACAGCCATTGACCAAATTCTAAATAGTAGATATAAACTTTCCCGAAATCCGCATTCTAACAATCGATTCAACTACTCGCAAGACAATCGCAAAAAACATTGATATCCACCTTCCTGAGAACCTTCTTTTTTGAAGTCTTCTGAGAAACATTCATTTAAGTAAGTAGTTCGTATCTAATACAACCCCATCTAGATCAGCAGGCTGGAATATAAGTGCGAAAATCAAGCCAGTTGCCCCTTCATTAGCCACAGGACATGTTTGCAATTGCACCTATGTTTTTAATAAATTGTACTTTATGTTTTCAGTCATTGGATTGTGCATTTTGCCGGGCGGCATTTAGTACAGTATTTGAATACGTACACAGTAACCAATCGGCTCAAGCTGAACAAGTTGTTATAAACCTTTGCACTTCTTTGGGTATTCAATCTTACGTCGTTTGCAAAGGAGCTGTAGAACTAAATGTGGTATGAACTTGAGTCATTTGTCGAATACGTATTATTAGATATTATTATTTAATGTATTCTATATGTTTTTTTAGCCAATTATAATACACATTATCGAAACAGTACCCGAAGCCACACCTAGAGCATTTTGTGGGCTTGTTTTGCAAAATTCTGAAAATCCTAACTTCTGCAGAATTGACGATCCGAGGTTTGAGTGGCAAGTTGATCTGCCTGATGTTGGTGAAGAGGCGCCAGAAACCCATGTAAGTTATTTGGTGGATCCAGTCATTATCAAGGATAGGCACCTGCCTACCTAATATGTTTTAATTCAAGTAGGTAGGCTACTCACCAACTAATTAAGTAAGTACTTATGTATTTTAATGTAGGTAATATCAAATCATGTTTCAACAAGTTATTGCTTTTCTACGCCCCAAAGGTAGACACCATAGGTAGGTTATGTTAAAGTACCTAATATTTCCTAAAATCCGTTAAGAATATTACTAACCATGATTTGTAAAGATAACAAACATGATTTGCAGTCTATGTAGTAGGGATCAGTCTCAATCACTGATGATTTGATTTAGATATTTTTGCGCAGGACTTCCCCGATGATACAAGACCACTCAGAATAGCTGTCATAACCGATGCTCATATTGACCCTTTGTACGAAGCGCATGGAATTGCAGACTGCGACCAACCAGTTTGCTGCAGGGTAGGGCAATCACCAGCTAGCCGATATATTTACCCGATGAAACGATCTGCCGTAGAAAAAAATTTAATAGAACAGAGTGTTCATGACGATAATAATGAAATTAAGATAGATTTAAGCGTAGCTCCAAAGCTACGTCAGCTGAGGAGATCAATACAGACCAGAACTTTGGCGCCAAGAGTTGCTGAACCAGCTGGTTATTGGGGTGACTATAGAGACTGCGACACGCCCATTTGGGCGTTCGATAACGTTATCGATACTATCACTGACTCTCACAAGGTAATTATTTTTTATTTTGATTTTGTTTGTTTAAACCATTCGTACCAGAAAGATTTTTGATGAACCAGTTATGATTACCTACCTATAAACTTAATGGTTTTTTTAAACTGAGTCCCGTGGCTGTGACAAATGTCGGTATTGTTACAGATTCCTCATGTCTGTCCCCATAGATGGGCGACATACTTTTTTCCGAAACTACTCAATAATATTGCTTAACAATAGCTCATAAGAATTAACACTCTAAACAATAATGATGCTAAAATAACTACTTAAGTACCTATTAATCGTTACTGATATGACTTTATTGATATCATTTCAGAATATTGACGTAGTATATTATATCGGTGATACAATTGACCACGGTGTATGGGAAACAACGTATGAAATGATAGAAGATAGTAATCGACATGTCATTCAAAAAATCAGGTCAAGTTTCGGAGATAATGTACCTGTTCTACCTGTTATTGGAAATCATGAATCTCAGCCAACAAACCAGTGAGTTATTATCAAAGTTTTTCTTTTAGCTAGATATGTAGGTACTGTACCTATGTTAGCATGGTAAGTATGTAATACAACAACGTTAAAGACATAAAAATAAGAGAGAGTACTAGACCACTTGTAAGCCGTCCTTGTCTGGATATTTACTTATTTGACATTTTTATTTTGGTACCAAAAAGTACCTACTTCACAAAACAGTGGAAGTAAACCTTGTCGTTATCATAATAAATATTTTACACGTAGGTATGTGGTAATGCTAATGCTTCTGGGACTTTCACAACAACATCTCTAATCTCTCTCTCTCTCGATCGCCTTGGCAGATTGAGTTTGATGACTTCCAAAAATGTTGCAGTTGTTAGGCGATTGCTGATAGATTTGGTTGCAGTGGCAATGTAATTATATACATGATTACTTTACATTAAAATGTTGTTGCAGATTCGCCCCATCGTATGTGATTGGTGAAAGTATAAACACAACTTGGTTGTACGACGCGCTTGCGAAAAAATGGGACTACTATCTGACTGAAGATGCAAAAGCCACTATACGAGCTCGTGGAGAATATTCCATGTTAATTAGACCGGGACTGAGGGTTATTGCTTTGAACAACAATGTTGCCTATAAATATAATTGGTGAGTATATTATTTTCATAAATCTATGAAATAAGGTAGTTTGAGTAAGCCTTTTCAATGCAGGCAGTGAATGTCTGTTGACTGTCTGGTTACACAAAAAAATTGGCTGTTAATGAAGAAAAAGATAATGGAATAAGCGAACATCAGCTAAAGTTGGAATAACTTTTAATGATGATGATAAATATGTTACTTAATCCTTTCCACAGTAGGTAAAGTTTTCTCTT